AAAAATGTAGCTGACTTTGGGTAGATGCCTGATCCTAGGTAAGCAGATACTATGTTCTCCTTGTTGGTGTTCTTAGGAATACCGCCCTACTTCGGTACAGGGCGGGGTGTGTACATCTGTGCGAACGTAAGTAGACCTGTTTGTTCACTGGACGATCCCGCTTCCTTCTCAGCATATGTTGGCCATTGGCAGCCTCGACCATGCCCACATTGTACGCCTGCTGGGACTGTGCCCGGGCTCATCTCTGCAGCTCGTCACTCAACATTTACCTCTGGGTTCTCTGCTGGATCATGTGAGACAACATCGGGGGGCCCTGGGACCACAACTGCTGCTCAACTGGGGCGTCCAGATTGCCAAGGTGAGAGGAGCCCGGGGAGCTGCCTGGCTGTCGGCCAGGTGGAGAGGCGGAAAGCAGGAGCGATGCCGTCGGTTGGAACTGATACTGGTCTGGGGACCAACCCTAAGCCTGAGTGGATCACCTCCCCTGTAGGGCATGTACTACCTCGAAGAACATGGCATGGTGCACAGGAATCTGGCTGCTCGCAATGTGCTGCTCAAGTCCCCCAGTCAGGTGCAAGTGGCAGATTTCGGGGTGGCTGACCTGCTGCCACCTGATGATAAGCAGCTCCTACACAGTGAGGCCAAGGTGAGGCGGGGACGCACAGGGCGGGGTCAGGAGGCCGGGGGAAGTGTGGGGCTCGGGAGCCATCTGTAGTCTCTTGCCGAGGCAAGCAGAGGCTGCATAGGAGGTTTAAGGGGAAGAACTGGGACATATCAGAGCAAAAAGAAAAAAAGAAAAGGTGGGGGTAGAACTTGAGGGGTTGCAAATACTAAGAAAATCTGTGGGAAATCAACTGATGACACCTTTCTCCTTAATTCCCCAGACTCCAATTAAGTGGATGGCCCTGGAGAGTATCCACTTTGGGAAATACACACACCAGAGTGACGTCTGGAGCTATGGTCAGTGTATCTGGGTGCCCTCCAGTTAAGACACCCCCCCACCCATCACCCCAGACCCTCCTAGAATTTCTGAGCACTTCGGGTCCAATCACATTCTCCTTGCCCTGCACCTTCACACCTGTGTATCACTGACTACTTCATTGCTCCCGGGACCAGGCGTGACCGTTTGGGAACTGATGACCTTCGGGGCGGAGCCTTACGCAGGGCTGCGGCTGGCTGAAGTACCAGACCTGCTGGAGAAGGGGGAGCGACTGGCACAGCCCCAGATCTGCACCATTGACGTCTACATGGTCATGGTTAAGTGTAAGTTACCTGCTGATCCCCAGGCATTTCCTAACTGGTCTTCCCTCCCCACTCTGTTCACCCCCTATGGCTCTGCCCCTTACACTTTACCCTCAGGTTGGATGATTGATGAGAACATCCGCCCCACCTTTAAAGAACTAGCCAATGAGTTCACCAGGATGGCCCGAGACCCACCTCGTTACCTGGTCATAAAGGTAAGTAGGAACTCGCAGCTAGCAAAGAGATTTAGAGAAATGGCAGCTTTGCTGGGACAAGTGTCCCCTCACCGCCGTCTGTCTGCCTCCATAGAGAGAGAGCGGGCCTGGGCTCACGTCTGGGGCAGGCTCCGTGGCTCTGAGAAACAAGGAACTGGAAGAAGTGGAGTTGGAGCCAGAACTAGACCTGGATCTGGACTTGGAGGCAGAGGACAACCCGGCGAGCACCCTGGACTCTGCTCTCACCCTGCCGCTGGGCACGCTTACTCGACCACGTGGGGTAAGGGTTCTTCCAATTACCCAAGACTCTCCAACATGCCCATCCACATGGAGTGGTTTTCTCTTTCAATGGTATGTAACCTGTCTCTCGCTTCTCTCACCCCAGAGCCAGAGTCTCCGAAGCCCATCATCTGGATATATGCCCATGAACCAGAGTAACCTAGGGGAGGCTTACCAGGTAAGGTCGACCTCTTTGGAAGGAGCAGTTGAAAGGCTAGGGGGCAGAGGGTCTTAGGATTGAGAGGGCCAATGTGGAACACTGTCACTTTTTTTCCCCCAGTTAGCTTTATTTTTTTAGCAGTTTTATTGACCATATAGTTCTCGTACTATACAATCCAGTAGTTGAAATACATTAAAAAGGAGCCGTGCCTGGGTGAGATGAATGGTTGAGTTTTAATCAGGAGCCTGCGGAAGGAAGACACCGACCAGCCCAGTCTCCTTCTAAATACAGCTTTCTTCTTCTTCCCTATTCTCTGCTTCAGTCCCCACAAATTCTCTTCTGTTTCCTCCTTAGGAATCTGCAGTGGGTGAGGGTAGTGAACGGTGCCCACGACCAGCCTCCCTGCACCCAGTGCCTCGGCGACACCTGACATCCGAGTCATCGGAGGGCCACGCGACCGGCTCTGAGGCTGAGCTCCAGGAAAGGGTGTCCATGTATCGGAGCCGGAGCCGGAGCCCGCAGCCCCGGGGGGACAGCGCCTACCACTCCCAGCGCCACAGCCTGCTCACTCCTGTCACCCCACTCTCCCCACCGGGGCTGGAGGAAGAGGATGTCAATGGTTACGTCATGCCAGATACTCACCTTAAAGGTGCCTGGTGTTTCCTAGGGCTTTCCTCAAAATTTCCTCTGATCCTTTTGATCTCGATTCCTCTTAATCCTGTGGTCTCCTCTGGTCAAATCCCTCCCATACTCAATTGTTTTCCCTAACTTTCACCCACTTCCCTAGTGCCCATGACCCTGAGCATTTTCACATCTCCGCCCTTTCTTCTCAACCTTCAGGTACTCCCTCATCCCGGGAAGGCACCCTGTCCTCGGTGGGCCTCAGCTCTGTCCTGGGTACTGAGGAAGAAGATGAAGACGAGGAGTACGAATACATGAACCGGAGGAGAAGGCACAGCCCACCTCGTCCCCCTAGGCCAAGCTCCCTCGAAGAGCTGGGTTATGAATACATGGATGTGGGGTCTGACCTCAGTGCCTCCCTGGGCAGCACCCAGAGTTGCCCGCTCCACCCTACGCCCATCATGCCCACTGCTGGCACAACTCCAGATGAAGACTATGAGTACATGAACCGGCGCCGTGGTGGAGGAGATCCGGGTGGGGATTATGCGTCTATGGGTGCCTGCTCGGCAGCTGAGCAAGGCTATGAAGAGATGAGAGCTTTCCGGGGGCCTGGAAACCATGCTCCCCATGTGCACTATACGCGTCTCAAAACTCTACGGAGCTTAGAAGCCACTGACTCGGCCTTCGACAACCCTGATTACTGGCATAGCAGGCTCCTCCCCAAGGCCAATGCCCAGAGGACATAACCTCTGCTCCCAAGACACTTGCTCCGGAAGCATTTGACGGCAGCTAATGGCTTTAGAGGGTACCCGTCTTCCCTCTCAACTCTCAGCCCCATCTCATCCATCCTAGACAATTCCATTCCACCTACGGAGGCTTTTAAACACCTTTGACACACGATGATTTTGATTTGTAGCCAGCTGCGCACTTTCTTTTCTTTCCCAACCCCAGGAAAGGAAGTTCCCCTTATTTTGCGTGCTTTCCCAATCTGGTTCCCCTGCATCCTCATGGGGGCGCCCTCAAGATATGAAGGATTACTCTTCACACTCTTTTCTTTTAGGCTCTGGTTTACTGGGGACTCAGAGGCCCCTCGGTCTGCCTTTGTTTCCCAGAGGGTCCTGAGGAAGAGGAAGGGAGGGAACTGGCGGGAGGAAGTCAAAGCTGGCCTATGACTGGACACCCTGAAAAGATGGGGAAGCTTAACATTTTGAGGCGCAAAGAGGTTAAGTAAGAGTAGCTATTAATGACTACTATGAATTGAACTTTCACCGTGTGCCAGGCATGACCATGGTTCAACTTCACCTACGTTATCTCACTTAATCTTGACAATTCTGTAAACTCACCTTCACGTCGATTCCAGCTCGGATTGGCCCTGTAGGACAGACGAGAGCTGCCCCCATGGGTGCCTGAGGCTGAAAATCTTTACAGGGGCAGAAGCTCTCAGAGTGCCTGGTGGGTTTTTGCGCCCCCCCCCGGGTTCCTTTATAATTTATAATTCTTTAAGGTGGCTATTACCCGCTTTAACCAATGAGGAAACTGAGCTTTTTTTATGATGTGGCAGATCAGGTTTCACGATCCTCCTGATCTCCCGCATTTACTCTGATATGCACTACATACATTTTAATGCTTCCCACATTCTTGAAGGTGTTAAGGAGAACTGATAAAAGTCAGTAACCCTTGTAAGGGGCATTGTTTTCTTGTTTGTACACTGAATCAAGTCTCATCCCAGTAACTACAGCCTCCTCCCACACCCAGATTCCTCATCTCAGGAAGTTGAGGAGGCCCGAAGGAAAAATAATGACTTTTTTTGGTGTATACCCATACCCATAAGTGCTGTAAATGATCTCTTCGCCCTGACCAAAGGCAGATTCACAAGGGTCCCCCAAATCCATTTTCAGGAGCTATTCTCATCCCTCAGTGAGAACTTTATCATCAACAGGGGAAGGCATGAGGGTATGTACCCCCCTCTAGCTAGACCTCGCTCCCCTTGGATGGGAAACTGGCGGGAAATGTCTGTTTTATCACTGTTGTGTGTTTTTTATATACATATCTGAATAAAAATGCCAATGTCTTTCAGTTTCCTGTCTATCAAATGAAGAAAATGTTCTGTGTGAGCCAAAACAAGCTCTGTCCCCCGGTTGATTCCCACGTAACGTGACCCTATAGGGCAGAGTAGAATTTTCCCCCGTGGGTGTCCAAGGCTGTAGCTCTATATAGGATGAGAAAGCCTTGTCTTTCTCCAGTGGGGCAGCTGGTGGTTTTGAACTGCTGACCTTAAGATTAAGTGTCCAATGCTTAACCAACCACCTTCTTACTCTGCCCCTCAGTAGTGAATAGCAATCAGAGGCGACAGTCCCTCTCTGCCCCGTGTGACATCACCCCCCCAGCTATGTTCTTCCTTAAGGCAAGCACAGTGCACAGCCCTTTCCAGTTAAGGTTGTTTACAGGTAATCAACTGGGAATAACGACGATAAACAAAAACACCATGGGGAAGTTGGGCAAGTCTCTAAGGTGGCTGGTCTTATCTGATGTGCTTCAAGGCTCAAGGTCGGGAATGCCAGATGCTTAAACGGATCCACACAATCTCCGAGCACTTCCCTTGATGCCATTAAGACTCAACTACTGTTGGAACAGTAGTGCCAGCTCACTCCAGTGGGAGTCCAGCCTCCAGATGGGGAGGCTGTAAAGGGCTGATCCCTTTGAGTCAGGGCGCCCTGGCAGGCCTGACTCCCTTGGTGGAGGATCCTCCCACACTGGTTGGCCCCTCTCCAGTCTCCCAGCAACCAGGGACTGGACTGGACCTGCTGGGCCGGTCTCACCACCCACCCCTGGGGTGTGGAGGAGGGCGCGCCTCTGTGCAGGGTGTACACAGTACCCACCCGTCACACCTGCCTGCAAACCTAGTTCCCTGCCGTAGCTCCGCCCCCCTCTATTACGGGCTCTCGCTCGGCGCCCCGGGTCGATGTGGTTTTTCCGGGAGAGACCACGCTGTCCTCATGCTCCCCAACGGCTCCGCCTTCGCGCCGGTGCCTGACCCTTCCCGTCGTGCCCGGCGGTTCCGGCGTGCGAGGCCCGCGGAGGGCGAGGCCCCAGGGCCTGGCGGAGGGGCGCGAGGGGCCTTCTGGGAATTGTAGTTCACACCTCCGCGAGGGCGGCCAGAAGTGGGGGGTGGAAAAGACTCGCTGTCCCAGCGTGCCCCGCGCCTCGGCCCGCGCGCTCCCGGCCCCTCGCTCTCGGCCGCCCGCCCGCTCCTTTGCTTGCTCGCGCTTTCGTTCGCGCTCTCCTCGAGGATCGGGGACTCTGGGCACGGGCTGCGGCCGGGAAGGGAGGCAGAGGCGGAGGCTCAGGGGAAACGAGGCTGCGGCGGGGGTGCTGGGAAGATGTCGGGCGAGGACGAGCAGCAGGAGCAAACTATGGCCGAGGACCTGGTCGTGACCAAGTATAAGATGGGGGGCGACATCGCCAACCGTGAGTGCGGTTTCGGGGGTCGGGGGCTCGAGGCTAAGAGGGCGAGAGAAGGGGCACGATGCCGGTGTGGTCCGGGAGTGGCCGCACCAGTGGAGGCGTGCGGGGTGAGCTGCCGAGGGGTCCGCGCCGGCCCGCTGGGGGCGGCGTGGTGGCCAGCTCCCTCTGGGGTCGGAAGCAGCAGGCCTGGACTGGACTGGACGTGCGGACTCGCGGCGGGAAAGCGCGCCGAGCAGGGCCCTGGGCTGGCTGCGACCCCAGGCCCCCGGTGGTAAAGGGACCCCTGCACTTCTTGACCCCCCGGGCCTCTGGAACAGAAGTGCGGGGGGGCACCAGGTGGGCCTTGGCTCCGATCCGGCTTCCCTCGTTCTGGCAGTCCCGCAGCCACCTCGGAAAGGAAGCGCCCAGCTGTTGGCGACGGAAGCGCCCCTCTGTTTTGTCGCGGCTCCTGGGCGTCAGAAACCGAGCTGGCACGTGTTGCTCCGTCCCCGTGCGGGTCGCTGGCTCCCTTTTTCCCTAGGCTGCCATCCGTGACACCACGTTCCCCACCACGTGCTTTGCTGAAGTCTCCCCGTTTCTGCGCCCGTCCTTTTCTCGTCGAGGCCCCCACCACCCTTGGGCCAGCTCAGGAGATCGTTGGAGGGCACCCCACACACACACACTTTCCCCTAGCATCTAACACACTTTTATTTTTGGAAGGCTAGCTGACTTTGCTTGAGATTACTCATTGCTATGACCCCTCCAATCTGTGCAGGTAGCCCTGGTTAGCCTGACCTCTGAATTGTCCTCAGGAACTTGACAGTTGGGGAGTGTCCGGAGGTGCCCCAGTTACCCATTCGTGTGACCAGCCCTGTAAAGAGGGGTGACTGGTTTTTCGGTTTGCAGAAGACACCCTTGTTCTCAGAACCTTGCTGGGCTGACCGCAAGCAGCTATCCCGCGGCCACTCTAGGGAAGTACTTGGCCACGGGCTTTTCTTTTCAATGGTTTGGACTGAAAAGTAATTGAGGTGGAGGTATTTAGGATGCCTTTGGTCCCGTGGCTGGGATAGCTTTTTTTGGCCCCTTTAATAAAACGCAGATCCAAAAAATGTAACATGAGGTTTAGAAGGGGTTGTAGGGAGGGCATCCAGCACAATGCCTCACAGCACAGTGGGCACTTAGTGTGTGACCCTAACTTTGGGTCCTTGTTAGTTTTGATAGCAATGGTTTGTGTGCGGGGAGTGTTCTTTCTCTTTGTTTGTAACTTCTGGAGTACCTAATGATCCAATTCCAGTTTGGGGGCTTTGGAGGCCACACAGCTCTTCAAGATCAGCTGTAAGTTAAGACTGCTAAAGCCCCGAGACCATGGATTAAGTGCCCTTATATGCTTATGAGGAAATCAGTCTGCATACTTTGAGATTACTAACAACTAATTGAGGTGTCTGAGAAGAAGGTACTATTTAGCAATGCATCAGCTTTGAGTCAGCAACTCTGCCTACCTTCCTGCTGTTTCTGACGCCTATAAATGTCTCTAGTCTGATACCTTGGCCAGAGCCCCCTGAAGTTCACACACACTTGTCCTACCACACTCAAGGTGTCATCTTTGGAAAGGACATGGCCTTGCCTAGAGGGACAGATTAGATATACCTGCTTGTCACATTACATAAAGGAGGGAGGGGAGGGAGTGAGAGCCTCTAGGCCTCAAGGCAGTGGCCCTAAAGGCTTATTAGGGATTCTGAGACTAACTTCTAGGAGTTGCTTGCATCGTAAGTCAATAACACAGGTAATGTTGACATGTTGGGATTCTGTCCCCAGGAGTCCTTCGGTCTTTGGTGGAAGCTTCCAGCTCAGGTGTGTCAGTACTGAGCCTGTGTGAAAAAGGTGACGCCATGATTATGGAAGAGACCGGGAAGATCTTCAAGAAAGAAAAGGAAATGAAAAAAGGTAAAAAACAAAACAACCCCTCTCCCCACCCACCCTGGTTTTCCCTTTTCCGGTCCCGAAGTTTCTGTTGTTTCTTTTTAGCATGGACGTAGCTCTGGATGAGCTAGTTAGAAATTTAAAACGGTGGGACCCAAGCCGTTTCCCACTGCCCCCAAACGGGGCAACGAGCTAATGGACGGACGTTCTCTCTTTGCAGGTATTGCCTTCCCCACCAGCATTTCAGTCAATAACTGTGTGTGTCACTTCTCCCCTTTGAAGAGCGACCAGGACTATATTCTCAAGGAAGGCGATTTGGTAAAAATGTAAGCTAGACCACTTGTCTTCCTGCTACGCGTTATGGACTAGTTCAAAATCACAAGTTCATAAACGTCTAATATCGTACTCGTGCTTTGCAGTGACCTTGGAGTCCACGTGGATGGCTTCATCGCCAACGTGGCGCACACGTTTGTGGTTGATATAGCTGGGGTAGGTACCTGCCTTGAACTGAGTGCAACAGTGGGGAAGGGTTGTTTGCGTGTGTCCCCCACCCCCATCACGTACGTTTTCAGTTGCTAGAGAAGCAGAGAGAAAGGTGAATGTTGACCTTGTATAATGGAAACTCGGGTATTAACTGACCAGCCGAGCTGAAGGGCTCTGGAAGGCACTGATGGCATTTTCTCTTACCTTCAGGGGACCCCAGTGACAGGGCGGAAAGCAGATGTCATTAAGGCGGCTCACCTCTGTGCTGAGGCTGCCTTACGCCTCGTCAAACCTGGAAACCAGGTGAGCGGTTTTGTCCAGTTTTAAAACCTGTGAGAGGGAAGGTGCATTTGTCACCTGTAGCTCCCTGCCATCGATGCAAACTCCAGGGTAGACCTGCCCTGCGCGTCTCTAAGACTGACTCGTTGCAAGATTAGAAAGGCTCATCGTTTTCCTGTGGGGCGGCTGCTGGTTGTGCCCTGCTGGCTCTTCCCTGAGCCCAGTACATAACCACTCAGTAGCAGTCAAATCTGAAAAGGACATCAAATAATAAACCAGTGCCAGAAAGAGTAAAAGTTAGGCCTCTACTTTTCCAATGATATTCACAAGTACTGGATGATAAGGTTCCCGGATGTGAATGCTCGGAAAGATACCAGCTGTCACTGGACTTGCAAATTTCCAGAGATCCCTTGTCCTTTTTCTCCCCTGTTCTGTGCTCTCGGTCCTCATTCTTAGCGCTGTTTTTTTCTCCCAGGCCATTTTATTGAGAATACAGATAACATATCATTCCATAGTTTTCATTCCTCACTTGTAATCGATGTGTAGTGCAGTTTATTGCCCTTGTTTTATAATTGCATTGTTTTATTTAATTCTGTGCTTTTAGTTTCCTTATTGTGGCAGTCGACTCCCTAGAGCTGCTAGGAAGTACTTTGAACAGTGCCTGGTACCTGAAGCCCTCATTAGGTCTTATTTTACATTTTGGTTATCTCATATTGTGTGACTTCCCAGGAGGTGGGGTGGATAGGATATAATTATATGTCAGGCTGCCTGCGGTCACACCCTATTACTTGCTGTCCCCAAATACATTTGAACTCAGATTTCCACGCTATAAATGGGAAAAACAAAACTGCCCTGTTCTCACAGTTAGTTTTGGGAGCCATTAAAATTGTCTGTGCAAAGTGTTTAGAACAGTACTTGACAATAGATATTAGCTGTGATGGGTTATCCCCTTTGAGGATGATCAGGTCACATTTGAAAGAGGAGAGAACGGAAAATGGGCCTCTGCTGCCTGGGTGCCGGCCCTCATAGGTTAGAGTACCAGGTGCACCACCAGAGCAAAGCCTGGACCGATGACCAGGTTCTCCCACGCCATACTCTCTTCAGCCTGGACAATCATTTAACCTTCCTGGGCTGCAATTTCCTTATTTTCTCGTTTTCCCAAATTGTGTAATCAGACCAGGTTTGTGAACGTGTTTTGTGAAATATGTAAGTGTGAGGACTTTCATAGATCTGAGGGATCTGGTGTTAATGAAGTGAAAAGCCAGGGAGACCCATGACACTGGACAGGAAGCTAGTAGAATTCTCAGCTTTTCTGTTGCACTTATTCTCTGGGTAGGAGACTTACCATGGACCCCTGCATCTGACCTTTTACGTGATCTTGTGTTTTGTAGAACACACAAGTGACAGAAGCCTGGAACAAAGTTGCCCATTCGTTTAATTGCACGCCGATAGAAGGTGAGCCCTCAGATACAGGGTTGAGAGTTGGAGGGAGAGTGGTTTGCAGAATCAAGGCTTTTGGTCCCTGGAGGACCCATCCTGGCTCTAGCTGCAGCTAGACCAGAAACCTCAGGGCCCAGGGTTCCCAGAGCCAGGCACTTTCTCTCTCGCTGCCTGCCCCATGGAACTAGTGAGGTGGGTAGAGTTAGAAGCCTTTCGAATTCCCTGGTGACTGGCACCTCAGGCTTTAATCCATCTTGTCTGCAGGTATGCTATCACACCAACTGAAGCAGCATGTCATCGATGGAGAGAAAACCATTATCCAGAATCCCACAGACCAACAGAAGTAGGTGCCCATCCACTTCTCACCTTCATACCAGGCTACCAGTCAACTTCCATGTTCTCGACCTAACCCGGTCCACTTTCTCTCCAAACTCCTAGACCTACTTCTTTCTCTTACTGGTTGCTTTTCTCGCTCTGCCTTTTAGGAAGGACCATGAAAAGGCTGAGTTTGAAGTACACGAGGTATATGCTGTGGATGTTCTTGTCAGCTCAGGAGAGGGCAAGGTGAGGTTTCGCAGAACTAGCTCAGGCTGGGGAGGGGGGGTCATCATAAGGGTGTGTTGGAAGAGCACGGCCCGAATGTGACCGGACTGACTCTTTTAGGCCAAAGATGCAGGACAGAGAACCACCATCTATAAACGGGACCCCTCTAAACAATACGGTCTGAAAATGAAAACGTCACGGGCCTTCTTCAGCGAGGTGGAGAGACGTTTCGATGCCATGCCGTTTACTCTAAGGTACTGCACTTGCCAGGGGATGGCGCCTAACCTCAGGCTTATGCTTAGTGTTGCTCTCCTGCTTTAGGGGTGTGTGGCGGGGGGGAATAAGCCGAGTGCCAGAGCCTGTACTTTAAGACTAGGCAAAAGGGGAGAGGCAAGACCTGGGAAGTGAGTAAAAAGGTAGGGCTGCAGGGGTGGAAGTGGGGGGTGGGTTAAGAATACATGAATTATTTTTCCCTTCCCTCCCCAGAGCATTTGAAGATGAGAAGAAGGCCCGGATGGGTGTGGTAGAGTGCGCCAAACATGAACTGCTGCAACCATTTAATGTTCTCTATGAGAAGGAGGGTGAGTTCTTAGAAGAGAATGTTGCCTTTGGAGCCTCTTGTCACGTAGGTCCCGCGCGTACACCCCCCCACCCCCCCGTCCTATGACATGTGGAAAAGAGACATCCAAATCCCTTTGGTTTGTTTCTCCCCTAGGCGAGTTTGTTGCCCAGTTTAAATTTACAGTTCTGCTCATGCCCAATGGCCCCATGCGGATAACCAGTGGTCCCTTTGAGCCTGACATCTACAAGTCTGAGATGGAGGTCCAGGACGCAGAGCTGAAGGTTAGTGTGGGGTGGAAAGTGAGGAGCAAGGGTTAAATGTCAGCCACACTCGGAAAAGAGCTACAGTCCGAGTGCAGTCCTCTGTGTTGGTGCGTACTTCACTCTCCTCCTAATTGATGCCGCTCCATCTTGTTTGCCAGGCTCTCCTCCAGAGTTCAGCAAGCCGGAAAACTCAAAAAAAGAAAAAAAAGAAGGTGTGCTAATGATCATCCCTATCTGGCAGGGTGAACCTGATCCCTCTTCGTTCTACCTTCCTGGGTGGTTAGGGGTAATTTATGTACCTTGATCTCTCCCCACCCCACCTTCCCTCCAACCCCCAACCCCAGCCTGCACTTAAGGTGATTGTCCTTGGCTCTCCCTCCCAACTGACGTGGGTGCTCTTTCTCCTTGCCCCGAATTAGGCCTCCAAGACTGCAGAGAATGCCACCAGTGGGGAAACGTTAGAAGAGAATGAAGCTGGGGATTGAGGTGGGTCCCATCTCCCCAGGCTTGCCACTCCTGCCTCTTCCCCTTCCCACCACACCCCAGGCTCTGTGAAGTGCAGGTCGCCTTCTCCATCCAGGACCACCAGCAGAGCGGGGTCTCCCTGCCCAACCCCATCCCCCAACCCATCCCTTTCCAACAACAACCAGCTCCAACGGACTCTGGTCTCGGGAGGCCAGGCTTCCCAGCGACCGAAGACTACTCTAAATAGAAAAAAAAGAAATTGAGTAATAAAATCAGGAGTCAAAATCCATCGTCTTCAAGCCCCTCTTTATAGCCTTTTTCTACTACTGTGCTTGGTCTAGGTTTGTGGCCCGACAACGCAGCAGGGAGGAGGCTAAATTAGCCACAACAACGAAAACTGAGCTGAAATTTGTTTATGCCGTTCCAATGTCAGCATTTTCTCATCGGTGGGGCTTTTACTTTTTTCACTTTGCTAAACATTTTATCTCGCTTGCAGATTGTTTTATTCACATAGGACCGGCTTCCCTCTTGTCCAGGCTGTCTGATCAGGCCCCTCCCGTTTCTAGGAGCCGGAGCCTGCATTCACCAATGGGCTCTCATCTCAAATGAGTCTTTGCTCACTTTAGTTGTGCAGAATTTTGTTTCCCCCTTTTCCCTTTTCACTCCCACCAAGCTGTAAGGAAGTAAATCCGTCTCAGCCATGTCCTTCTCTTTCGGGTCAGTCAGATCTTCCCTTGCTCCATCTTCTACAAATCAGAGTTGGAAGCTCAACTGGTTTGTTCCCTGTGTGTGGTCTTTTGAGCTGTCCCCTTTGAAAGCGCAGGGCCCAGAGGAACAGACTGACAGGAATGCTAACAACTGGCTTTCTGAAGCCGGACTCGGACTGGATGGATTGCTGGGGTTTGGAGAGGTGATGGATTTAGTACAAACTCTGGCATGCTGTGCCGGCAAACTAGGGCTCCCACTAATTTATGAGGTTTTTTAACATTGAAAATGAGATGTCATTAAAATAAATTTGGATTTGGTCATACCGATGTGCATTTTTGTATGCTGCTCTTATTTGATTGGCAGGGAGGGGGGACGGGGGGTGTCTGTTGAGAAAGTGTTCATTAATTGAAATTGTTTGTAGTACCAAATGAGTATTCAACCTTCCTTATCCAAGAATATTTAGGAGTTGGGAAGACACAAAGCCTGGGATCTCTCAATTATAATCAAGTCAATTGCCTATAGGAAATGGGAGTTTGTGATTTAATTTTCTGAAGTAGAAATGTATCACTTGTTGACACTAGGGCATTTGATGTACTGCAAAAAAAAAACACTACAAGTATCGACAAAGCCAAGAAGAACGATTTTAGATTTTTACTATTGAATAATAAAAATAAAATAACCAAAATTCCTATCTTCCGAGCATTTCTTTTTTATCCGTTTTCTATTAACTCTGCTTTAGTACTCCTAGATGTTTTGTTAAATATCTTACATGTGAGCCACTGCTGACCTGGAGCTCTTCAAATGAACAACATAACCTGGGTCTCTCTAGATCTTATCCTTTAGTAGGAAATCTTACCACTGGGAAGATTCTGGTGATCTCAACACACAATTCTGCTAGAATCTTAAATGTACATTACACATAATATACAATGGTATATATTTTATCTTTCTATTCCACTTTTCCACTACCTTTTTGAAGCCCTCTATTTGTTTTCAAAAAGTAGTCGTGTTCCGACCATAAGTTACTTAATGCACTTTAACAAATCAAAAAGAAAAGTAGGTGAAGGGAGACAGGACGATATAATTGAAGATAATAATTATAAATTATCAAGGATTCTTGGAAAACAAAACAAAAAAATACTATCTTAAAAAACAAAAAGGAGCTGATGCCAAGGGCTCAAGTAGAATGTTTTGAAAATGTTAATGACAATATATGTACAAGTGCTTAATATAACTGAATGATGATTGCCATGAAATTTGTAAGAACCTCCCCCCCAATAAAGTGGTTAAAAAAATTTAAATCCAAAAAATAATAAGTTTAAAAAATAAAAGAACAAAAAATTACCAAGGGTTCATGAGGGAGGGAGGGAAAAAACAAGGGCTCAAGTAGAAAAAGTGCTTTGAGAATGATGGCAACAAATGTGCTTTACACAATCGATGAATGTATGAGTAGTGATTTAAAACGCAAATTTAAAAATTTGAAATTGAGTCCATCCTTATGCCCTTTGAAGGGCAGGCTAGATCTGCCCTACAGCGGTTCTGAGGCTGGGCTGTTAATCACCAGGATGGCAGTTTTTGTATACACAAATCGCCACACCTTTCTTATGCAGTGCAGCGAGGAGGGTCAAGCCACACCTTTTGGTTAGCTGAGTGCTTTGTCAACTCGAGTTCTTTTTCACACTAAGATTTTTTGTAGTCAAGTCTGGTAATTCTGACCTTACCATGAGCCTAGTAAATTCGCAACATTCTTGCCACAGAACATGCATAGTCTTCCCTTCTGCACGTGCTCTGGGGCTTGATCTTCACCCCTAGGGCAAATTGCTGTGACATTTTAACCGAACTTTGCCGTGGCGTCGCTACCGTGCCCCCGTGGGTTTCCAATGAAACGAAAGTAGAGTAGAAAGCCCCATCTTTCGAAATATTTCAATAAATTCCTGATGACATGCTGCTAATGGCTAATGACTGCTTTTCATTCTCCAGCGGTTTTAGGTTCACTTCTTTAATATTGGCAGCTTTACCCACGCCATTTTACATTCCTCCATATGCTAATATCTAGCTTCTTGAGTAGTTCCGAAATCGACCTCCTTCCAGCAATTTAATGCAGAAATAAAGCAAACCTAGTAAGACAAATTAAGAATGTTTACGTCCGCACGAACCCACAGCAAAATGGAGGGTTCCTCCAGGTAACTGCAATTCCCATAAGGCAACGAAAGGCAAGGCGGAAGTCACTCCTCACCGAAACCCGCGGTGTCACGCCGAAAGATGCTCACTTTAGAATACTCTGACCTGCGCGGTGAAATCTGGGGGAGAAGGAATTCTCAACAAATTAAAATACTCTGTTTCCCAAGAGAATTAACAATGTGTCCGCTCAAAATCCCTAGGTCTTGGAAATCATTGAGAGTCTCCTCCGGAGCCCCGCCTCCCTAAGCCCCGCCCCGGAGGCGGGGCAGGAAATGACGTCACTGAGGAGCCCATAAAAGCGCTGGAGGCGGGCCTCTAACTCTCTCTGGGCTTTAGCGCCATCTTGTTAGGTCAGTGTTTGTTGGGTGCCTGGGTTTCGCGTACAATCCATTAACATCTGCCTGCTGTATTTAACATCATCTCAGCAAACTAACTGTAGCTTTCTCCTTTCTCTCTCTAGAAACCTCCGAGCCATGAGAGCCAAGGTGAGTGGTCCTGAGCAGTGAATTCAGGCGGTAGGTGCTGGCGGCGACTGGGGCAAACTCCCTAGACAGGGAAGTCCGCCATGGTACCTGAGCGCCTAGTTTTCAAGGGTGTCCATGTACTACAGGGAAAGGAAGGCGAGTTTGCGGGGGACTCTGAGGAGTTGGTGGGTAGATATTGGAAGAAGTCCGAGTTAGAGGACCGCGCGAGATGGGGGTCGGCATCGGAGATCCCAATTAATGGGGTGGCAGCGACTGAGGCCTGCCTCATAGTGAACCGGCCTGGTATTAAATGATGCGTTTGAGACTTCGACTTAATCTGTCACCCAAGTTACTGATTGCGTTGTATTCTGTGCTTCTGTTTTGATCGGTTGGCAGTGGAGGAAGAAGAGAATGCGCAGGTATGTTGAACACCGCGGCAGCAAGGGGGCGGGGGCGGGCATTCTGCTCAGAAACCCCAACTGGGTGAAACATTGGAAGACAGTAAAACCGCAATGCAATATTCCATGTCTTACATCCACATGTCAACAAGGTGGGACACAAAGGCGGGGGCTTGGTGACACAAATTGTATCCACTCATTCTTTTTTCTCCCCAGACTGAAGCGCAAGAGAAGAAAGATGAGGCAGAGGTCCAAGTAAAGCAACCGGGCGCCCCCTCCGAAGCCACAGCTGCAGGACTATGGAGTGCCTGAGGCCAGGACGCTGCTACAAGCTGTTGACTGCGTGCTACCCACCGTCTCCGCATCTGAAACTTCCGTCGCCATTCGATCGCCGAGAGACCCGGCCCCTTGCTCAACACCCAACCAGTCCGGCTTTGCTCCTTTGCCCCGGACCTCAGACATTCTGGACTCGTTCTGTCCTCAGTTGTGGCTCGATGTAATGTGCACAATAAACCATCTCTTCTGCTGTCTTGGCTGAGGAACAAATCGTCTTGTCCTGTGATACTTTCTCGGTTCTGTTCGGTGGAGGGCATTCGGTAGCAATAACTGACAGCGCCGCCTTGTCGGTGATGACCCGTGCGGCGGAGGAAGTTAGAAAGCTATTCGGGCACGGAGCGGGTGCGTGAGGTGCAGCTGCTACATAGTAGTCCTCACTGCGAGAAAGACCTTTGGTACCCTGGGGAGCTAAGCTATTAGGTTTGGGCTAAATGGTGATTAACAGCTTTTCACGGCACGTGGGAAAGTATCTGCTTTGCGGCGCTGCGTAAGTCAGGTTGCCATGGTTACGCGCAAGGTTTCCTGGGAATTTCCTGTGGCTAGCTCAAGCACTTGGCTCGCCATAGAGTCTACTTCCGGGTCTAGTGGCTAGAGCGGCATTTCTTCCGCAGGAAGCGGAAGGACGTCCGGGTGGGCGGCTCTTTGTCGAAGCTAGAGGACCGGCAGGCGGCAGCAGCAACTACGGCGGCGGCGGCGGCAGGTGAGGGAGGCGGGAGAGTTAGGTGGAGGCCGCGCCCGGAAGGGAGGAGTCTGGGCAGCCCAGCGACTGGGCTCAGCCGGTCCACACATGGCCCCCGGGAACGGGCTGGCTCGTGTTCACACGCCGTGGTCGAGCCCCTCTTCCGACTGATCTTATTTCGCGAGCAAACACCAGCTCCGTGACGTCACAACCCTGCCCATCCCCTCAGCTTGATGTCACCGGGAGCTCTGCCCTCCTCCCCCCTTTCATTTCGCGCTCCTCGAGTGTCCTGTTCAGCTGTTCAGCGGCACTGCACGAAGCTCTCCAACTTTAAAGACTTGCTGCGGGGAAACTCCTGTGGGTTTTTTTTGCCAACTCTGGGATGTTAGACGAAGCGTCATAATCACCGCCCCCAATTGTGCTCCGTCTTCCCACTCACTGAGTCGCTGCCCTTGCACAACGAGGACTCTTTCGGTGCTCCTAATCCCAATCCGAGGCCCACATCTGGTCCTCACAGTCGCTTTCATTTGGCTCAGGGCACACTCCTCAGTCTTTGTTTTCTAACTCATTTTCTCAGCTTCAACTAGTTCTGCCTTGTATTCTGTGTACTGGCCACTTCTCCCTGGGAAAGCGCTGATTGAATCCAAAGAAGTGCCCAGAACTCTTGCCGATTTTGTCAGACTTCATTCTTGTGACAACCCCCTCACTGTTCTCCACTCTTGCACCTTCTCCCATCCAAGTCTCTTGTTTTTTCCTGTTCAGAACCCAGCAGTGATGTGGAGGTGGAGACCCACAGGAGCCCCGGACTTCACCTGAGCTACCTCAGGTATTGGGTCATCCTGGGAGGGTGGATGGGGAGTGATAGTCGATCTGATTATGTTTCTGTTGGGACTTCTTGGGTCAGGGTTAGATGAAGGGGTAATTTATCCTTGACTGGGTGATTTCCCTTTGAGTAAGTTATTACCTTGAACCCTGGTAGTGTAGCGGTTGTGTGTTGGGCTGCAAGGTCAGCACTTTGAAACCACCAGCTATTCCACTCTAGAAAGACCGGGCTTTCCACGCCCATGGCGGGGTACGGTCTGGGAAACCCACAGGAGTTCTACCCTGCCATATAGGGTTGCGATATCAACTCGGTGACGGTGACTTTGGTCTTCTCTTTTTACCAGGAGCCCTGGTGGCGTGGTGTGTGTACACACTAGGCTGCCAACCCTAAGGTCGTCTGCAGTTCTGATGCACCAGCCCCTCCTGGTAAAGGTTTACAGTCTCGGAAACCCACAGGGGCCGTTTTACTCTTGTTCTTTAGGGTCGCTGTGAATCGAGACCAAGTTCCACGGCAGTGAGTTTGGTTTTCTCCCTAAGGTCATCTCAGAAGGGGAGATAAAACATAACCCTTTTCCTTGGCTGTGTTATTTTGGGGTTACCTCCCTTTGGAGGAAAAGAACCATTGTGTTATTTTGGGGTTGCCTCCCTTTGGAGGAAAAGAACCTGTTTTACAGTAAAGATAATGTGGGGTCTCTGGTCTGGTCAGTTCACTTTTGAGTGGGTAGCTGCAGGTGAAGTTACGGCAATGGAAGTAGGTGGGGAGTAGAGACAAAAATAGAATTCCAAAGCCTCACATCCACTGCCATTGAGTTGATCTTGATTGAGGGGCCTAGAAGACAGAATTGCTCCTTAAGGTTTCCAAGACTGTAAATCTTTATGGGGCATACAGACTCATCTTCCACAAAGCATCTCAAGGGTTAGAACCACTGACTTTGGTGGTGAGCAGCTGGAAGCTTTATTGATCAAGCTGCTCTGCTCCTTAAAAGCCATTGTACTTAAGTGGAGACAATGTGAAGTTTTCCTTTTTGGACAACAGAGGGCGTGTTTGCCTAGGAAAGGCTTAGAATGTCAGACATGTGGTAGCCATCCTCTCCCAATCTTGTGGATGGAGAGGGGGAGGGGCAGGAGTGGGTAGACCCAGGGCAGTAGACTGACATTCCAGAGCTCTCTTGGGAAAGAGGAGACTTAAAAAGCTTTTATGGAGTCTATAAATAAAGAGGATCTTTATGGTGTGAAGAATGGTGTGGTTTGATGTCAGCGGGATCTTCCCATAGGAAAGGGGAGTAGGAAGAGGGTGTGGAATGAGGAAAGCAAGGTCACTTATTCCTGTAGAATTAACTCCTTCCTCCTACCTTGACCTCTTCACACATGGTTTTGCCCCGGTTCCCAGAGGTTGAATTTCCAGCTATAGAACTCGTGAAGGGGGTAGGAGGAGGCTGTTGTCAAGGGCTGAGAGTGTTGGCGGGTGAGGAGAGTCTACACACGTTTAGGAACTGGCAAGTCTTTTCTCCCAGGGTTTCTTGGGATTTGGCGATCTGGCACCTGCAGGACCCTCACCTGAGAGCCTGCTGAAGAAGGATTAAGGAATACTGTTATACCTCCAAATCCTGGCTGCTTGCCATCCAGCCCATTCCAACAGAGTGACTGCTGCACAGGGTAGAACTAACTGCCCCTTTAGGTTTCCAAGGCTGTAAATCTCTACAAGGGCAGACAGCCTCTCGTCTCCCTCAGAGCTGCCCAGAGGGTTCAAACTGCTGACCCTGTGGTTAGCAGCCCATTGCATACCCCAGTATGCCACCAGGGCTCTCGTTTTTCCACCAGCCTATGTTGGCCACTGTTCATCTCGGGGCTTATTTAGAGATGGACACTAGTTTTAATTTCACTTCCATAACTTTAGTAAGGTCAGCTCAGGAGGGGCGATAAACTCTAACCCGATTCTCTCCCTTCCCCCTCCTCAGCCAGTCTATCATCATTGAGATGTGTTGACTTCACCCCAGCGCCCTCCCTCCCTCCCTCCATTAGCCAGGCAAGTGTGAATCATTTTGACCCAGACCAGGTGCACTGGGCCTGGGCGGGGACTTCTGACAAACCAGCCAGTCCAAACAAGAATCCTTGTCCCTTAGATTGGCTTTCTCCAAAGCCCTTTCCTCTCGGGCTTCTCTGGGCTGCCTTGCCTGCCCTGCTCGGCACTGAGGAAGAGTGGAGGTCTGTCTCTGGAAGACTCCTGGTTGACACCGCTTTCCTTTTTTTTCTAGCTGTCACCAAGGGTGGCACGAAAGGGAAGCAAGCCCCGAGTGGGAGGGGAGCAGGATGCCTGACCGGGACAGCTATGCCAATGGCACTGGGAGCAGCAGTGGAGGCCCTGGAGGTGATGGCAGCGAGGAAGCCAGTGGGGCAGGGATAGGCGGCGCTGGGGCCAACTCAGATGCCATCTGCAGAGACTTCCTGAGGAATGTGTGCAAGCGGGGCAAACGGTGCCGCTATCGCCATCCGGACATGAGTGAGGTGTCCAACTTGGGGGTAAGCAAAAATGAGTTCATCTTCTGCCATGACTTCCAGAACAAGGAGTGTAGCCGCCCAAACTGCCGATTCATCCATGGCTCCAAAGAAGACGAGGATGCTTATAAGAAGACAGGAGAGCTTCCCCCTCGGCTGAGGCAGAAAGTGGCCGCTGGCCTGGGCCTCTCACCGGCGGACCTACCTAACGGCAAGGAAGAAGTCCCCATCTGCCGTGACTTCCTTAAGGGGGACTGCCAGAGAGGCGCCAAGTGCAAGTTCCGTCACCTGCAACGGGACTTTGAGTTTGATGCTCGGGGTGGAGGAGGAACTGCAGGTGGGGGCTCCGCAGGCCCAGTCCCCCCTGGACGACGTCATGATCTGTACGACATCTGTGACCTCCCTGACAGGGGATTTGAGGACCATGAGCCAGGCCCCAAGCGTCGGCGAGGTGGGTGCTGTCCTCCAGATGGCCCCCATTTTGAATCGTACGACTACAACCTGGCTCCATGCCGAGGAGTAGAGTGCAGGCTCTTGGAGGAGGAGAACGCCATGCTCAGGAAGCGGGTAGAGGAGCTCAAGAAGCAAGTCAGCAACCTGCTGGCCACCAATGAAGTGCTGCTGGAACAAAACGCCCAGTTTCGTAATCAGACCAAGGTCATAACCCTGAGCTCCACTGCACCAGCAACTGAGCAGACTCTGGCCCCCACTGTGGGCACTGTTGCCACTTTTAACCATGGCATCGCCCAGACTCACACTACTCTCAGCAGCCAAGCTCTGCAGCCCCGCCCTGTATCTCAACAAGAACTAGTGGCCCCCGCTGGTGCCCCTGCTGCTCCCCCAACTAATGCTGCACCTCCTGCTGCACCCCCACCCCCACCTCCACACTTGAACCCAGAGATCACACCACTGTCGGCTGCTCTGGCTCAAACAATTGCCCAGGGAATGGCACCCCCTTCTGTCTCCATGGCTCCCGTGGCTGTGTCTGTGGCCCCTGTGGCCGTATCCATGGCCCAGCCCTTGGCAGGAATCACAATGAGCCACACCACCACCCCCATGGTGACTTACCCCATTGCTTCCCAGAGCATGCGCATCACAGCCATGCCGCACTGATGGAGCATCTGGACACCCCCTGGTACCGCCTCCTGGGGCTGCGGTCGAGCAGGCCCTGTCTGCAGGGCTCGCTTGAACTGTACAAGAGACTGCAAGGAGTATGCTTCCAAGAAGGGGTTGGGTCGGTGTGTTTTCTCTCACCTCCCCTTCACGATGGTCGTCTTGTCCGTCTTCCTCCAAGCTTTCCAGAAGGGGCTTGCTGGGGAGTACAGACTGAAGCCAGCGGAGGGGAAGGACCGCCTAAGGGCATGTCTACTCTGTCCTCTCTTCACAGCACAGAATAGGTTTCAGCACTGGCTTTGGCAGAAGAAAACCAAAAACCCTACTGGGGGAAGCCAGGAAAGATTGGGAAGTGAATGGTCAGGAGAGAAGGCCCCTTAGGGAGCCTTCAGGCACTGCAGGGCCCAGTTGGGTTGGACAGCACAGAAATTGTTCCTGGGTCCCTGGGAAGGCGGGGACCATAGTACTCCAGCCCAAAGACTAGGGGAACATCTATCACTTTGGGCTGGAAACCCATAGGGCAGGACCCACCACTTTCCAAAGAAATAAAAGAGAATTATTTTTAACAAATGGAGGCATTGGAAACTTGTTTAGATGTTCTGTGTGGGGAGATGGGAGCAAAAAGTAGATGACATGCTAAAATGGGACGGAGACCCTACCCTCACATGGCATGTGGGAAGGAACCCAGCAAAGGGTAGAGGCCCGGAACATGACCAAGTAGGGTTCGGGGGAAGGTGCTTTGTGGGCTAAAACCACTGGAGCCACCTAGTCTCTTCTAAAAATAGCCCCGTTTGTCTCTGCTCTCTGTCTACAAGTATTATTCCCATGTTGCCTTGGTAACCAGGGCTCCTAGGGTCATTTATGAGGGCAGGTACTGAAGAGGGTACATGTGATGGGAATGGGATGGGACATAGTTGACAAACCCTCCCTTATTCAAACAGCAGGGCAGGTGGCGGTTGCCTGTCTGAGTTGTTGATGGCAGTTCATGTTCCTCCTACCCTGTCTTTTCCTCAGTGGCCAATGCCTTAATCCTTAAAGCCTTGGGAGGTGCTGAGAAAAAAAGTTCTTCTGGGGACACAAGCCTCAGGGTTTATCCCTTCCCTCTGCCTCCACATAGAACCAGAGGCGGCTTTAAATCCACTTAGGCTCAAAAGGCCAGGGCCCCAATAACCAAACCTCAGTTCCTCCTCGGCTCAGGGCTGGTGTAGGGGAAATAACTTGGGTGTCTAGTCCAATGGAAATAGTGTAATTTGGGAGTAGAGATTATGGTCTTGGGTCATGCTTCCCCACCATACCTCTTGCTCTCATGGCCAATTGATCACTTGAGTTACATGGGTTTAAAGCCTGGGTCAAGGCCAGTTATTTGGGGGAGGCGGGGGGCAATGGGCTAAAGACTAAAAAGTGGGCAAATATTGTTGTGGATTATAGAAATGAGACATTAACACATTTAATGTTGATTTTCTGGCAGTATCCTAGATTTTTAAGAGAGGTCTGTGAACATTTAGCAGAGAATATGATCATAGATACCAACCTGAATTCTTTCCCGTCAAGTCCTGACTTCTTGCTGAGAGGTAGGTTTGCTTTGGGGAAGTAGACCCTGTCTGCCCTACGTCAGTGTGCTCCAGCTAAGACCCCCAGGATGCACCTGTAGTTGAACACGTTGGATTTAATGTTCACTGCACCGACAGTGGACACCGTGGGAAGCAGTGGGGTCTCTCAAGAAGACAAAGATTTAGATTTGGGGGCAGGTTTGAGGAATACAGGGTTCATCTGGATTGGGGCTGTCAAAGAAGCAAGGATAATTCTGTGGTTAGGTATCTTTTACCTGTAACAGTGCTTCCCAGAGTGGATGATACCACCCCTGGGGGGCGGGGGTTTACAAAAGCAAATACTCAACACTTTATCCTGAATTAGGGGCTATAATAGACCCCTGGTGATGTAGCTGCTACCCTCAAGGTCAGCAGGGCAAAACTACCTTTCTTCACAAGAAAATGGAGGCTTTCTACACCTGTAAAGAGTTACAGCCTCAGAAACTCACAGGAGTAGTTCTACCCTGTTCTATAAGGTTGCTATGAATTGGAACTGACTGGATAGCATTGAGCTTGGTTTATGGGCTGTAATACAAACAGACAAATCTGAGGACCACTGAGTAATTTTTGTTTTGTTTTAAAGGGGGCAGTAGGCCAACTAAGTTAGAAACCTATAATCTGAAAGGAAAGCAGACGACCTAAGGTTATAACTGGTTTAAGAAAATCAACAAAAACCTCACACTGCCATCAATCAATTCCAATTCATAGTGACCTTATAGGACAGGTAGAAATGCCCATGTGGGTTTCCAAGATTTTGTGGGAGTAGAAAGTGCCATCTTTCTTCTGAGGAACAGCTAACTGTTGACCTTAGGGTTACCAGCCTGATACATAACCACTATGTCACCAGGGTTCCTGATGGCTATTGGGGGGGGGGGGGCTTGACTCATTAGCTGCAGTATTTGGGGGTTTGAACACTTACCTAGTCTGAGCTTAAAACTGTGAAGTCTGGTTGTGGTCTCATGTCGTCCTCGTCACTGAATGACCTTGTATAATGTTGGTGTTTAGTGAGATTGTGTGTGCCCTACAGGAGAACATAGCCTAACTGACAACCAGATGAACCCCTAACGACGGAACTGCCTGCCTTACGGTTAGCAGCCCAGCACTAACCCACGGCACACCCAGGGCTTCTTCGTACTGAGAGCATGTTTACCCAGCAAGTGCTGACCTCGTGCATTTGTAGTAAAGAAATCTAGTGATAATGCTACATATCCTTAAAAATAACAAATCAACTTAGATAATCAGACAAAACCCATTTTTCAACACAAGGAAGTACTAGATAATAGTCAAAGTCAATTGGATTGATTATAAAACACTGAACTCCCCCTGCCCCATTAAAATCACTTCCTTAGAAATAAACCTCAAAACTTTGGCACTTAAAAAAACAAAAGAAAACCCTGAACTTGTCTGAGGAATAATGTAGAGGTCCGTGTTAGTGGTAGTTGCCAGACAACAACCCAGGACTTCCAGTTGTTTACAAACAAGAAAATCTTGGTCCTCACGACCGCAGTCAGCAGATGCTCCTGAGCCTCTGCCGTTCTAAGGGCAGAAGAGCCCCGTGAGGGTGTGTGTAAACACAACAGTTTCACCTTGTGTTGTGTACGTGGCAACACCCCCCCCCCCCAATGCTGTCCATTTTTAGAGGGTTGGCTGGTGTAGCTGAAGAAAACTGCCCAGAGTCGTCTGAAGGGAGATCCAATAGCTGTTCTGTGTTGCCACTCAGGAAATGAATGAGGGCGTTCCAAAGGGTACTGGGTGCTCAATACAAGCCAAGGCATGGTGCTACATGTAGCAGCTCATTGACACAGTAGATGACATTATGCCCGTTTTTGCATCTGAGAATGCAGGGTTTCTTGGGTCTAGTCAGGTAGTCTGAGTCCAAACTTGGCCTAAGAAAGTTCTAATAAGCCATCCAAACATGGGACTACCACTTCGCAGTATCTGCAGAAATAACAGAAATTTGGAATCCCGTGGCCCTTTCTGGGTCCAGACTAGAATACCATATCTTTGACCTCTGACCCATAGGAGGCAATTACAGTTTACATATAAGTGCAGATTATATACCCAGAAAGTTTCAGCGCTGGCTTCACTTAGGCCCCACCCTTTAAAGACACTTCCTCTGACAAATGGCCATCCCTTCCTGTCCCCCACTTACTACTTACCACCACCAGGTGGCACCTGGGTACAGAATTGTCAGTAGGCGGGGCCCCACCCTGTTTACTGGTTCTGGTGCCTGCATTGCAGCTGCTGATCCTGTGGCTCCTGGGCCGGTGCTGGGACCAAGGCCTTCCTGAGGGTGATCTGTTAGCCCCAGGACATTCTCAGTAGGAGGGTCTGATGTTCTGGATGGGGTGAGGAAGGAGAGAAGTTTGGAAAGGAACCTTCAGAACCCCCCACCCTCATCTTTCTTCTAAAGTGTCAGTTTGTGGAGGCCTCCCCCTAGGGAGTCTCCTCAGTTTTGTTTTGTTTTTCTCTTGTAGCGTTCTGCTTTATCAGTTGGCAAGCAAATAATTCCTTTAAGCAACCGGACCCCTTTTCTAACTGCTCCCCTCTGGGGTTATGGAAGACAGACAGAAAAGTGTTGCTCAGAAATGTCTGCAAATTGAGTATTATCTAGAAGATAGCTAAATACTGCCGGCCACACAGTGGTAGAAAAAGGGAAGTGAGAGAACTAAGGGAGATGGGCACGGTCAGGTTTTATGCAGCTTTGATGAACCAGTCTGATGAAATCTATGCCCTGCAGTGAGATAAAATCCATCAGCTGCACATCCGGTCCCTCCCAACAGTCAGCCCTGTTTCCTGCCGCATCAGACAGAGTAACTCCTCAAACGGCAAGGCTGCCGCATTAGATGTCAAATCTAGCTTATGCCCAACCCTTACCGCTTGTGCTTCCAATTAGTTTTTAGGTTTCAAGGCAACACCCCACTTCTAAGGCCAGTTAATGAACCCAAATAATTGGCATTAATATGCTCTGCACTTTTCCTGAGCCTACACTGCTAGAACAAAGGAGAACTACCTTGTTTTTACTGTATTCCGAATCTTCCAACTCAAGCAAAGGAGAAACGGAATCTTCCCACTCTTGACTTTCTCCTCAGGTCAGAAAATTCTTCAAAAATGTCACCTCTTCTGCTGCAGTTGAGGACCCTTGGTTTTGGAGACAACTTTTTAAATTTTTTAAAGAGGATTTCGTTTTCCTCTTTTTTTCAGTAGAGTTATAGATGGCTGACTGACTTGAAGATTTTTGAAAAGAAAGCTTTACTTCCTCCTCCTCTGCTTCCTCCTCCCCACCCACCCCCACCAAAAAAAATTTTTTTTTAAAAAAAGGACCATTCCACTCTAATTCTCCGACTATGCGAGTTTTTTCCAAGTGCCTGTGTACACTACACAGACAAAGTAGGGAGCTGAGGACCGGATAGACGAGATAGGACATCCATGGCTTTCATTCCAAATCGGGTAATTTTTTTCCCTTTTCTAAGGACACTCAGGGGGAGGAAATAAAGGATGAAGTATATAGCCTTTCCGTTTGAAAGCGAAGGAAAGCTGACACATAAACACACAGGAATCCCAGAAACAAATATTTCCAAACCGTCAGTATGGGGTGGAAGGAAATCCTGACCTTCCAAAACTCCCCAAATTCGTAACTCGGGCTCCCACTACAACCGAGTAATTGGCGGAGGAGCTCTGCAACACGTCATAGCACAGGCACTCCAATCGCACGTGCAGGCAGCGCCTGGGCCCGCCTCTCTCCTTTAAACGGTGCGCCACGCCTCCTCCGCGTTCTCACCAATCAAATGCTGTCCTTTAAGGCCTTGCCTCCTCTCCCCGCCATCCCGACCGCCCATCTTGGCAGTCTAGTCCAATCCGGGAGGCCTTGCTCCGTGCAGTGCGCTCCCTTCCCCAAGCAGGAGGGGCGGAGTTTCACCTCTTGACTCCGCCTTACTCTACCGGCCTCCGACCAATCCGAGCCGGCAGGGGGCGTGGCCTGGAGGCCCTTCCCCCATCCTGGTGACCACGGTTTGCAGGGGGTAGCTGCCCCGCCGAGCAGGGGCTCTCCCGTTGCTCTCTGGGTCGGGCGGGTCCTCCCTGAGGCGGCACCATGGAGCGTTCTCCTGTGGAGGGATCCGGCCCCGATCCTGTGGGCCAGCCCTCAGCTCCCTCCGACCCCCCTGACCTGCCCCCCACTGCTCACACCCAGCCGGACCCCGGCGCCGAGGGCCAGCCTGCAGGACCCGGCGCGGCGGGCGAGGCCCTGGCGGTGTTGACTTCGTTCGGGCGGCGGTTGCTGGTGCTGATACCGGTGTACCTGGCCGGGGCAATGGGACTCAGCGTGGGTTTCGTGCTCTTCGGCCTCGCCCTCTACTTAGGGTGGCGCCGGGTCCGCGACGAGAAAGAACGGAGCCTTCGGGCAGCGCGGCAGCTGCTGGACGACGAGGAGCGGCTCACGGCGAAAACGCTCTACATGAGCCACCGCGAGCTGCCTGCCTGGGTGAGCCCCCGCCGCAGTCGCGGGCAGCGCGGCCCCTCGGCGCGGGGGCGCTCTGCCTGTCCCCAGAGGGAGCCCCAGCTGGGGGGCGGGGGCCGCGCCACTTGGGCACCCACTGCCGTCCCTCTCAGCCCCCGCTTCGCCGTTCCGCCCGGCCCCAGGACTTCTTCCTGACTCGGCTCTTGGGCAAAAGAGCAGTCGTGCCATCTGGGGCTCGGGGCGCCCTCCTAGCCCCGCCGTGCGGATGGACGCCGGCCTCTCGCGCCGCCGCCGCTCTGGGCATCCGGTCCCCTTTGGCACCCTGAGGGTGCCCTGGCCTCTCTCCTCCCCTAGACTTTTTACCTACTGAAGGCCACAAGGGTTTTGGCCCTTTCCCGCGCCCTCTAGGGATTCCCGCTGGGACCCACCCGCTGGGGAGCACTGCTTGGTGAGCCCGCACCTGGCGGGACCTGCGGGGTCCGGCCGGCGCCTGGAAGCCGCGGGCTGGGGCTGCGGCCCGGCGGAGGCGGCTGCCGGACAAAGGGCGGGGACGTGGTGCGCAAGGAGGGGAGTGCGGCTGCTGCAGTGCCCGCCGCCCCCACTCCGCCCCGCCGGCTCCACCTTTCCCTCCCACCCCGGGGTGGTGAAGGCAGGGACCCCGGGGTCGCAGCCTCTGAGTCCGGGCCCGCGCCCGCGGAGGGACCGGATGCTTCTCCCCGCCAGGCTGAGCCCGTTACCCAGCCCCGCCCTGCCCCGCCCTGCGGCCCCTCCCAGAAGAGGTACCCGGCCGGGGGTTGAGGAGAGAATGGCGGAAGGGAGGCATCGAAGTTGGCACTGGGCAGGCACAGCCCTGATTCCCAGCCCCCGGGCCGCAGCAGGGAAAGCAGGAGAAATGATCCCAGGGGATGTGTGGCCCGGGCTGCAACTGTCTTTGTTCCTCCTCCCCCTCCCCAAAGGAGGACACAGGTGGGAGCACGCAGGTGTCCTTCTTCGCAGGTGCCCTTCATCGCTGGGAAAAGGAAAGGGGAGAAAAGGAAAACCTGCTGGGGCCTGCGTGGTTGTTTAAAACTTTTTATTGCGAATTGTGTGAGGGCCTCCCTGTTTGCCTTCTGCCTGTGAGGAGCAGGGAAGGCTGGACTCTCCCCTCCCAGGATTCCCTCCCCCAATCTGATTGGACAGGCCCTCCTCCCCCAGCAGCTGTCTTTCCATAACTGAACTCTCCACAGAGCAACTTCTTGTGGCCTGCACCCTGTCATGTCCCCTTAGGGAGGCCCTTGACACTGACCTGTTTCCTCCAGTGTGTGTTTGGGGGGGGGGGCGGTATAGGCATCCCAGCCAGTACCTCAGTGGGAGGTCACAGGCAGTGGTGGACGCCTCACTCCCTCTGCCTTCCTGCCCCCAGGTCAGCTTCCCAGACGTGGAGAAGGTGGAGTGGCTGAACAAGGTGAGAGGGCTGAGTGTCCCCATTCTTATTTCTCAGAAGGGGGGCAAGGGGACGAGACCTTGCTATGGTCTAACTCTAGCCCCATCCCCACTGGTCTCTGTGGGGAGAATTCCGAAAGCAAGCCTGGGCTTTTCCCGGACGACCAGCGCCTTTTCTTCCCAGATTGTGGCCCAGATCTGGCCCTTCTTGGGCCAGTATATGGAGAAACTTCTGGCTGACACTGTGGCCCCAGCTGTTCGGGGATCTAATCCCCATTTGCAAACGTTTACATTTACACGAGTGGAACTGGGTGAGAAGGTGTGTGGGAGAAGGGAAAGCAAGGAGAGGGAGAAGATGGGGCTAGGAGGGAGGGGGTCCCCTGAGGGGCTGAGCTATTCCCTCCTCCCCTCCCCTCCCCAAATCCCTCAAGACTGTCTCTCTCTCCAGCCACTTCGAATTCTGGGAGTCAAGGTTCACCAGGGTCAGAACAAAAAGCAGATCCTACTGGACTTGAATATCAGGTACCGCCACTCACCACTCTTCCTACTTCCCCTCCAACAGGGTCCTGGCCACTCCTGGCTGCCCACTCCCCAGACAACTTGGTACTAACCCGCCTTCTCTTCCTTCCTAATCCCCAGCTATGTAGGTGATGTGCAGATCGATGTGGAAGTGAAGAAGTATTTCTGCAAAGCAGGAGTCAAGGGCATGCAGGTGGGGCAGGTGTCATGGCACCTCACAATAGGGCGGGCTCTGGGGAAGTGGGAGGTTTGAGGAAGCAGAGCTGGGAACTTCTGGGAGGGGCAGAGGGTCTCTTAGGGGGCAGGCTTTGATCTTCTCTTTGTGCTCCAGCTACATGGCGTCTTGCGAATGATCCTTGAACCGCTTATCGGGGACCTTCCCATCGTGGGTGCTGTGTCGATGTTCTTTATCCGACGCCCGGTAAGGGAAGGCATTGAAGACGGTGGGTAGGCATGGGGGCAGTGAGGATGGGGAGAGGGATGAGAGTGGGCAGCTATGGAGAAGAAATTGAGAAGGAAAGTGTTGGCAACCATTGGACATGTGTGACTGTGTCAACATATGACCCCTCTGCTCTTTCTAGACCCTAGACATCAACTGGACAGGGATGACCAACCTGCTGGATATCCCAGGACTCAGGTATCGAGGTTTTATTGAACACCTCCCAAGAGCTCCAGCCCTGAGGGCGCCATTTAAGAGACACAGAGCAGTAAAGTGTGCAGCTGTGTCTTCCAGGAGCCTCTGCCCTAGCTGGGAGGACACACCTGAAAAGGTCCACACTGTGATTTGGGGTAGGGTAGGGGGCTGAGGGGTGGCCAGCTCCGCAGGGGAACAAGGAAGGAGTGTGTGGGATGGCAACAAAGAGACCATAGATGGGAAATGCGGGTAAAAGTTCAAAGAAGGAACTTCCCCAGTAAACCAACTACCGCAGCGTTGGCCAAGCCCAACTTCCAGCACTTGGGGAGAGAAGCTATTTGAGGTGAGAGTCTCTTGAAATCACAGAAACAAATCTTTGAGACCCCTACTTTATACACATTTAAAGAAACCGTTTGATAAAGAAGGGCATTCCCTGTAGCGTGGGCCCTGTGCTGGCTTGGGGAAGCCCAGTTGAAATGTGGAGAAGACTGAATGCTGGGGCCTGCACTCACCTCCTGTTTCGCCCCATCCCGCCCCCCCCTTCAGTTCCCTCTCTGACACCATGATCATGGATTCCATTGCTGCCTTCCTCGTGTTGCCCAACCGGCTGCTGGTGCCCCTTGTGCCCGACCTCCAAGATGTGGCTCAGTTGCGTTCTCCTCTGCCCAGGGTATGGCCTCTCCCCCACTAGGCCCCTCCCTCAGGAGCCCAATGCTGGCCCAGGAGTTTCTCATTGTCTTACTCCTCTCCCCAGGGCATCATTCGTATCCACCTGCTGGCTGCGCGCGGGCTGAGCTCGAAGGATAAATATGTGAAGGGCCTGATTGAGGGCAAGTCCGACCCTTATGCTCTTGTCCGTGTGGGCACCCAGACGTTCTGCAGCCGCGTCATTGATGAAGAACTCAACCCCCAGTGGAGAGAGACCTATGAGGTGGGAGAGCTGAGGAGGGAGGCTGTGTGAGACGGGGCAGCCCGAGAGCATGCACGGCTGGAGAATCCTCACGGCACAGCCCATGAGACCCCGGTACCCCTGTGTTGTCCAGGTGATGGTCCATGAGGTCCCAGGACAGGAGATAGAGGTGGAGGTGTTTGACAAAGACCCGGACAAAGATGACTTTCTGGGCAGGTGAGAAACTGCTTGGGTTACAGTCGTGAAGTCCAAATGCCACCAAGGTCCCGGAGGGGATTGGGATCCTTCACTGGGCCTTAGAATCACATAGCATCTTCTTCCAGTCACTTCCCCGCTATCCAGGCAAACATGCAAATACTTCCCGAGTGCAGGGAGAAGGGGGTATGGGGTCTGCCATTGATTTCTGGGTGGGTGAGTGGAGGGCCAGTGACAGTTCCAAATTACGATATTCTTTCTTTCTCCCTCTTACTACTGCCTGCTCCCCCGACCAGAATGAAGCTGGATGTAGGGAAGGTATTACAGGCTGGAGTACTGGATAAGGTAAGTGGGAGACAGACACAGGGGGTCGTGTTCCTGTCCACTGGGCAGACAGCATGGTTCCTGTGTTGCCAGGGGCATTGTGGGTAGGGACTTGACCTCCACTACATCTCACTGTCTGTTGCCTCCTCCTCTAGTGGTTCCCTTTACAAGGTGGGCAAGGTCAAGTTCACTTGAGGCTAGAGTGGCTATCGCTTTTGCCAGATGCAGAAAAACTGGAGCAGGTACCCAACCTGAGATAGGAAGCTGGTACGGGGACTGGGGGAGTGGAGGGGACTGGAGAGACCAGGGCCTAACTGCTGCCGCCTCCTCCCCAGGTTCTCCAGTGGAATCGGGGAGTCTCCTCTAGACCGGAGCCCCCATCAGCTGCCATCTTAGTGGTCTATCTGGACCGGGCCCAGGAACTGCCTGTGAGTGGGGGTTCTGAAAGTGGGGGGACTGGGGAGCCCTGGACACGGCCAGCCACAGCATTCCCATGCCCTCTCTTCTTCAGAGCAGCAGTGCCCTTGCCTGCTTTGCCCCATAAGCAGTGATTTGCAGCTGAGCCACTACAGGGAAAGATTCTAATGAGAGCCCACCTCTGTCACCAAACGGGAAACACTGGAAGATGGCGATCACTAAATTCTCCACCCCGCCCCCCACCCCTGTCCCACAGCTAAAGAAGGGGAACAAGGAGCCGAACCCCATGGTCCAGTTGTCAGTTCAGGATGTGACCCAGGAAAGCAAGGTGAGGCCTGGACATCACTGTGTTACCAGTGTCACGTACTGAGGGCTGGTGGGCGGGGGCATTGAGGGCAGGGAGTGTCCTTGATGAGGCGCCCCCCCTTTCAGGGGATCCAAAAGTGGGGTTTTCCAGAGAAATGGGCATGGTGCTGTGGTCTGTACCCTTTGCCCCCTCCTCCTCGCCAGGCTGTCTACAGCACCAACTGCCCAGTGTGGGAGGAGGCTTTCCGGTTCTTCCTGCAAGACCCTCGGAACCAGGAGCTCGATGTGCAGGTGAGATCATCGGCGTGCACCCTCACCCCCACTCCACACTCCCCAAAGACCTTATGCTGTCTTCCCAGGTCTACTTCAGTCCCTCTCTCCACGTCTCCTTTCATGCCTATTTAAACCCCTGCACCCTGACTTCCCACCTCCCCGGCCCCTACCCTCTTATTTCTAGAGCAGATTTTACAGTACGAGTGAATTCTTAGAGTGTGCAAATTATGCCTCCATAAGATTGTTAAATTAAGCAAAAGAACATATTGAGCATCTGTTAGACATAGCGCATTATAAACACAGTAGCCGTCTTCAGAGATCCTGACCAGTTTCATAGTCAAGATCCAGATCCAGATGACCATCTGAGGACAAGATTGCCAACTCACGGCGACCCCATTCGAGCCAAGTAGGATTGCCCCAGAGGGTGTTCAAGAAGCAGAACACCAGGCCTGTCTTCCAAGATGCTCCGGGTGGGTTCAGACTGCCAACCTGTGAACTCATGGCCACCACTTAGCCCTTTGTGCTACCGAGTTGGCCTGCTATCCACAAGGCCAGCAGTTTGAAACCAGCCAGCCTCTCCACAGGAGAAAGTCGAGGCTTTCTACTCCCCTAGCCAGTGACAGTCTTGGAAACCCACAGGGGCAGTTCTCCCTTGTCCTACAGGGTCCCTGTAGGTCAGAGACTCAGTATCAACTGGGGTTGTTGGGGGCTGAAATCTGTTCTGACTCATGACCACCCCACACTGACAGCAGAAGTACCCCAGGAGGTTTTCTTGACTGATCGTCACAAGAGTAGATCTGCAGGCCTTTCTCCTGCAGAGCTTCTGGGGGGGTTCAAACCACAAAGCTTGTGGTTAGCACGTAACTGTTGCACCACAAGGGCTCCTTCCAACATTGATTCAGACTCGCCATCGAGTAGATTCCAATGGCATTCCTTCTGAGAGCCATAGTGAGGGCTCCCAGACTGTTCATCTCTGTGGAAGCCACGACTTCATCCTTCTCCCTCAGAGCAAGCAGCTGGTGGGTTTGAACCACTGAGCTTGTAGTTAGCAGTCCCAAACCTAAACTGCAGCATCACCAGGGCTCCTTCCAATGTCAACCTAACCAAAGCCCGCCGTCATCCAGCAGTCTGACTCACAGTCACCCTACAGCACAGAGTAGAACTGCCCCGTGGGTTTCCAAGACTTACAAAATCTTTTTGGGGAGCAAACACCTTTCTCCCTTGGAGTGGCTGATGGATTTGAACTACTGACCTTCTATTTACCAGCTCAATGCATAGCCCACTGTGCCTGCCACCCGAGCTCCTGAATATTAACAAACAGGACTAAAGTAGCCATGGTGTACTATGGAGAAAGCTACCAACTGGAATAGAGAGATTCTGTGGGGACCATTCTCCGAGCTTGGGGAAAGGTAGCTCTGGCGAGAGGGACTTTGTGAAGGAGGCAGGTTTATAACTGGGCCTTGAAGGGCAAGTAGAACTTAAAGAGCGAGAGGGAAGAGCGAAGACTCTCCCGGTAGCGGGGACAGAGTGAGCAACTCTGAAAGGACCCGTGGAGGGACAGGACTGGAAAGGTGAGCCTGAGTGAAGGCGTCATGAGTGGCCTAGAAAGACCTGTGGCCAGAGCCACGTTATAACTCCTCCCCTGCCTCCCTCTCCCGAATCGCTCTGCATCTCTTCTGGTACCTGCAGGTGAAGGACGATTCCCGGACCCTGACTTTAGGGGCACTGACCCTGCCTCTGGCTCGCTTGCTCACTGCCCCCGAACTCACCCTGGACCAGTGGTTCCAGCTCAGCAGCTCTGGCCCCAGCTCCAGGCTCTACATGAAGCTGGTGTTAAGGGTACGGAGCTGGATGAGCTGCAAGGGATCTTAGGAGCCAGTCTGTGTGGGAGGAGTTAGCAGTGTGGGAGGAGCCACCTAGACGTGGTGGGTGCGACTCGGGGAAGGAATGGGATGTGAGGGTGGAGGGAGCCCTCTAGAGATGAGCCTAGCAGGTTCCTGCGGTCCCTAAGCCCTCACACCCTTGGTCGGCTGGTGGCCAGCTGCACTCCTTGATTCCACCTTCACACCACCTCCCCAGATCCTGTATTTGGACTCCTCAGACGTATCCTTCCCCGCTGAGCCCGGGACGCCCGGTGCCTGGGACCTGGACAGTGCGAGCCCCCAGACAGGCAGTAGTGTGGATGCCCCACCGCGGCCCAGCCACACGACTCCCGACAGCCACTTTGGGACCGAGGTGAGTCTGTCTGGAAAGGTGCAGGGTCGGCCTGCCCACCCTGAGTGTGCACCCCTGTTTCTGGGCTGGCTCTGATTGCTCGCGGCTATGACTGCGTTTGGGTGCTCCCACGTGTGGCTTTTGCAGAACGTGCTCCGGATCCACGTGTTAGAGGCCCAGGACCTGATTGCCAAAGACCGCTTCTTGGGGGGCCTGGTGAAGGGCAAGTCAGACCCCTATGTCAAGCTGAAGCTGGCAGGCCGAAGCTTCCGGAGCCGCGTGGTGCGGGAGGATCTCAATCCCCGCTGGAACGAGGTCTTTGAGGTCAGAATGGAGTGCTGGTGTGCCTTGATCGGCCTGCGCCGTTCGTTCTTCCCCACGGCTCTGAGCAGGTCTAAAAGCCTCTCGGAGCCAGTCCCCAGGGGGCGGTCAGTCCCTTGCTGGAGGGCAGGAACGACCTCTTGTCTACACCATTTTCTCCCACCAGGTGATTGTCACATCAATCCCAGGCCAAGAGCTAGATGTGGAAGTCTTTGACAAGGACCTGGATAAGGATGACTTTCTGGGCAGGTGAGACGGAGGGAGTTGAAGTGGGCAGACAGGTGGGGGCCTCTGTAGACCCCAGGGAGACAGGGACGTCTGCCTTGGGCCTCACGCTTCCTCCTCTACAGGTGTAAAGTGAGCCTCACCGCGGTCCTGAACAGTGGCTTCCTTGATGAGGTGAGCGCGGGCTGGAAGGACCCCCTAAGTCTCAGTCTCATAGTCCCCTGCCCCCAGACCCTAACCGCATCGGCTTCCGCAGTGGCTGACCCTAGAGGATGTCCCCTCTGGCCGCCTGCATTTGCGCCTGGAGCGGCTGACACCGCATCCGACTGCTGCAGAGTTGGAGGAGGTAAGCGAGGACACTGGAGGAGGCTTCCAGCAGTTTCCAGGGCTTCGGCCTGGCTCCAAGCCCCAGTTCTCTGCTCCTCCTCTAGCCCTCTGTGCCTCCCCCCCCCAGGTGCTGCAGGTGAACAGCCTGCTCCAGACTCAGAAGAGTGCAGAACTGGCGGCTGGCCTGCTGTCTGTCTACGTGGAGCGCGCCGAGAACCTGCCGGTGAGATCTGCACCCCAGGCCCTCGACCCAGCTTCCTCACAGTGGGGCACTCCTGGTGCACACGAAGTAGCAAATGGGCCTGTCTTTCTCAGGGGGACAGTGGGAGGGACGGGGAGGACTATTTGTCCGTGGCTGCTAGCTGTGCATGTAACCTGGGAGGAGTGGGGGGGTCGGCCTAAGGAACCCCATATGTAAGACCTAATGGGGTTCTTTTTCTAGCTCCGGAAAGGTACCAAGCCGCCCAGCCCTTTCGCCACCCTCACTGTGGGAGAGACGTCTCATAAAACCAAGGTACCCGGGAGAGAAGAGGGACGGACAGCGGAGAAGTGGGTGAAGGGAGACATCAGACAGTAAAATATGACAAAATAATGATTTATAAATTATCAAGGGTTCATGGAGGAGGGGGTAGTGGGGAGGGAGAGGAAAAAATTAGGAGCAGGTACCAAGGGCTCAAGTAGAAAGTAAATGTTTTGAGAATGATGAGGGAAACGTGTACGAGGGTGCTTGACACAATGGATGTATATGGATGGATTGTGATAAGAGTTGTATGAGCCCCAAATAAAATGGGGAAAATATCAAGCTATTGGGAAATACTGCGGGCAGAGAATGAAAGGGGTGAGAGGAACAGAAGGGAGACTAGCCCCCCCCCCCCCACTGATCCTAACTCTGCATCTCCACCAGACTGTTCCCCAAACTTCAGCCCCTGTCTGGCATGAGAGTGCCTCCTTTCTCATCAGGAAACCCAGCACCGAGAGCCTGGAGCTGCAGGTACAAGAGGTTGATTCTGCCCCTGGTCGGGTGCTTCCCCACCCTGGGCCGGACACTGAACTGGGCACAGGACCTTCGGAAATAAGGGTCTATTCTGCTCTTTCTAGAGTACACACTCTCTTGGGGGAGAAAAGGGAGAAAACTAGCCAGAGATTGCTTGGGGGGGCGGGGTGGCACTGTGGGAGAAAACGGAGGGATGTGGGGGGCACAGGCAGGTAAAGGAGGAAGAAAGGCATTTTCAGATGACCCCCGAGCGTAAAGGTAAACAGGCCACGACCCAGAAAACAGCAGGAAAATGCTTCGGGCTGCGAAGAGAATGGAGGAAGCTTATTACAAACCAGAGAGGTGGGCTCGTGACCCTCCTGCCAAGGATTTTAAATTCTATCCTAAAGGCAGAGGACTGCGGGGCGACACATGCAGACTTGGCATTTTGGAAAGACCGTGCGGGGGACAAGGGCAAGCGTGGGCTGAGAAGGACAAGAGCGGGGCAGGCTGACCGTCCGTCACTGTCAGAAGCGGCAAAGGCTGCCTGAGCTCTGGCAGCTGTCTGCACGCAGAGGGTCAGTGGCCTAAGGCCCAGCCTGGGAGCAAGGTGCCATCAGCAACGCCAGGAGCGAGGGTTTGGGTCCGGGACTCCGGAGGAGGGACAGCTGAGAGGAAACATGCAGAAGTCAGCTCGACGCCCACGGTGGTGGGTTTCCCCCTCCCCGCCTGAGCACTGAGCAGAGAACCGCTGGCGACTGGACTGTCGTGCTGGGTGTCCGAGAGGCGCCTCCTTGGTAATTCAAGGACAGATGGAGGAGGAAGTGCAGCCGGAGTGGTAGGGCCCTCACCGGGCCCTAGTGGGCGACAGGAAGCTGGCCCGCCCACCCACCCGAGAATGTTCACCGCCAGCCTCCCAGCCACACGCCGTCTCTGACAACACCTGGAATCCCACCAAAGCCCGCAGAACTCGGAACGGAACTTGAGAGAGACAACCCGAGGAGCAGTACAAACCTAAAATGCAGCCACGCCAAGGGTCCCGTGAACCGTCCTGTAAATCGTCAACATATGTTTTAGATGTATCAGAAGTCAGGCGACAACACGGGGGGACGAGGTGCTCCCCACTGCGGAAGAAGTCATTCCTTGGGTGGGAACCAGGACCCGCCGTGGTAGCTTGAAAACTGCCCTAGCGTCTGGACGGTACTTCGGAAGATGTTCTGAGTCCAGTGGTGTGAGACACAGCACTCGCAGTGTCCTGTCATCAGAATTCTGGCTTATTGCTCGGATTTACGATGGTGGATGGGAACCACAGATGTCACTGTCATGAGAGGGGCCCGGGCGTGGCCACATGTTGCCAAGGGGTAAAATAAGACAACCAACACTGTGCTGACTTTGGAAACTAGCTAGTCACCGGCGAGTGGAGCCATGTCGGTGGCACGAGTGGAGTTGAAACCAGGTCCTGGTGGGCTGAAAGACGAGCCAAAGTGAAGCACTCAGGGCGTGGCGGGGAGGGGAGAGAGGTAAAGGGGGTGCAGACGCCCTCTTCTTAGGACCACACGGATTCTAACTGAAGCCACGGGAATGAGAAATAACGTCTGCTTCACCGTAGCCGAGGTCTGAATGTGCTCGGTCCGCCAGCTTTCACAGCCGGGAATCAGCGCAGGCACCCTCAAGTTGGTAGAGGACGACCTGGGGCTAGAGGCATAGTTTGTATGGGGACTCCGGCCAGAATGGGAGCCAGTAGCAGTAGCCTCAGGGAGTCCCATTCGGAGAGGGCATGCAGGAGGGCGGGCAGGAAACTCTCATTGCACGTTGCTGCTCTCTCGGCCATCGCTCACTGGCATGACTTGTGTTATCTGAGGGTCACATCACCCGTCTCCGGGCAGAAGCAGCCAGGAAGTTGGGGGTTGCTGACAGTGACCGTAGCTTCCCTGCCCTTCCCTCGCCAAAACCTCAGCCTGCAAGCACTTGGGCCTCGACCCGCCCATGGCCACCGAGTCCCTTCTGACTCATAGCGACCCCATCCATCTAGGATTCCCAAGGCTTTGTAACTCTGTACACAAGCCGGCAGCCTCCTCTCTCTCCCTAGGAGGGGCTGGTGGGTTTGAAGCGCTGACTTCGTGATTAACAGCCCAAGTCTTACCCAACAACAGCAGGATCGTCTTTGTCCCGTGACCGGCATTCTTGCTGCTCCGCAGGTTCGGGATGAGGGGGCTGGCGCGCTGGGCTCCTTATCGCTGCCCCTCTCTGAGCTCCTCGTGGCTGACCAGCTCTGCTTGGATCGTTGGTTTTTGCTCGGCAACAGCCAGGGGCAGGTGCTCCTGAGAGCACAGCTCGGGGTGAGTGCCAGGAGCTGGGTGGGCAGGCAGCGGGAGGCCCTTGGCAGCGCATGGGCCTCTGAGGGCACCTCACAGCCCGCTTGTCTGCCTAGATCCTGGTGTCGCAGCACTCGGGCGTGGAGGCTCACAGTCACAGCTCCTCACCTCTGGGTGAAGAGACAGAGCTGGGCGGGGGCTTCCCTCACATCACCTCCTCAGCCCCAGAGCTCCGGCACCGCCTAGCACATGTCGACAGGTAAGGGGCTCAGGTGGGAAGATGGGATGTCGGCAGGAAGGTGGGATCTGGGTCACAGCTTCCTTGGGCTCCGCCTTCTTCCAGGCCTCTCCCCCTCTCTCCACAGTGCCCTGGACCCTCCGGCCGGGCCTCTGGGACAAGTGAAGCTGACCGTGTGGTACTACAGCGAGGACCGGAAGCTGATCGGCATCGTCCACAGTTGCCGGTGGGACCCTGCCCTTCCTCCCCTCTGGGTCCCCCGGCCCCTCCCTCCCCTTGGATTCCGTCACCGCTTCCCTCCCGCTGCAGGGCTCTTCGACACACTGGCCGCGACCCCCCTGACCCCTACGTGTCGCTGCTGCTGCTGCCAGACAAGAGCCGGGGCACCAAGAGGAAGACCGCCCAGAAAAAGAGGACCCTAAATCCTGAATTCAATGAGCGGTCAGCGGGCACCGAGCTGGAGAGGGCAGGCTTGGGGTTGGGGGGGGACACCTCACCCTTAACATCCAGCTCCTCCCCAGGTTTGAGTGGGAACTGCCCCTGGATGAGGCCCTCCGGCGGAAGCTGGATGTCTCCGTGAAGTCCAATTCCTCTTTCATGTCGAGAGAGCGGGAGCTGCTGGGGAAGGTGAGCGGGCGAAGCTCTCGGCACAAGGCCGTAGTCCGTGCTGGAGGGGGAGCCCCCGGAGGGGCAGGGTGGGTATTACAGAGGGTCTCGGTGGTTTGGGACCAGGCAAGTGTGCTGTCAGGACCAGTTCTTTGGACATAATCACAGTAACACTCCCCCCACCCCCAACACAGGTGCAGCTGGACCTCGCCGAGATTGACCTTTCCCAGGGTGCCGCCCAGTGGTAAGCATCTGGATGGGTGGCGGGGAAGGGTCTGGAGAAATCCGGTCCCGGGAAGAGAGGTCAGGGTGCCGTGCCAAGTGCCAACCTCTGATTCTATGAAGCACGGGGGTCTTTGGGTGGTGCCTCCTTCCCAGGAGGGCACAAGAGCCCTGTTTCCACCTGAGCCTTTTCTCTCCTTGCTTCCACAGGTATGACCTCGTGGATGACAAGGAGAAGGGCAGCTCCTAGGAGCTCAGTTCACCAGCCTGACTGTGCGCTGCCTCTTGCTACATCACCTCCCGAATGTGATGAGCTTAAAGCCAGGGCCCCAGGGCAAAGCCCCGGCACTGCACTGCACGGTGGGCCCTCTGACCTCCCAGGCCCGTACTCGAGCCTTTGCCTGACCAAAGAGAGAGACCATGAACTACTCTTTACTGCACGGCCTTTATCCTTCCGGGCTCTTGGGCAGGGACCTGAGCTGGCTATTTCCTGCTCTGCCTGCACTTTGCTCTCCACTCCTCCAAGCCCCCCAGGGCCTTCTTACCTGTGCCTGGCCACTGGCAGCACTAGCAGTGGCCTCAGCTTCAGCCAAATACAGCTCCTGGAGAGCTCGCCTTCTTCCCTGCTGTGATCAGGGAGGGCGGGCGAGGACGGGTGGGAAGGTGGGCCAGCCGTGAGCATCTTGGATGACTGCATGTGGTGAATGGAAAGCAACTCAGGCCCTATGTCAGGTTCTGTCCCCACTCTCCTCAAGCCTGCCTCGAAAAATGATGCCCGCCATGACGGCTGGGGCCAATCTCCTGACTCCCTCCAGTGAATCAGGGATACTTGGATTTTACCCAAGCCTCTAAAAAGGGGTATGACAGTCTTGGAGGGACAGCAGGGACAGTTATTTGTCCAAGTGCCTAGCAGCCTGTCAAATTATGATTAGAATGGAATCTGATCCTCTTAGTTTTTGCACCAACTCTGCCAGTCCCCTTGTATCTTACAATAAACATCATACTCCAACCAGCTGTGGCTCTTTTCCTGAAGGACGGGGAATGAATGAATCCACCCTTCCCATCAGATGTTTATTGAAAAAAAACAGTCAAAACCCCTTATTCAGCCCCCTGGGAGTGACTTGTGTTGCTTTCATTAATGGCCGGCTCCTGCTGGGACCAGCAGGAACAATGTAGGTTTCCTCCAAGGGTGGTGGAGGGACTCACGTGAAACAGCTGCCACTGAGTTTCTGGTGGGGCCGTTCTCGGTCACAGGGAAGTCTGTTCTCCGTCCAGCTTGTCTGCTGACTGCGTGGTCCCCGGTGTTCGCGGAAACCTGGAACCTCAGTGGCACTGCACGAATTCCGTGTCTCGGGGCTGTCAGGCCATGCTCAGCCGTGTCCGAAAGGGTCCGGGCCTACCCAGCAGTCGGTGCAAGGAGAAATAGGTTATGCCCATTCCCATCTGCTCACCTCTAACTCTGTGACTTCTAAGACCCATCCTGTGTGGGGGGAGGTCAGATGCACAGGCATTTCCCCCCAGAGGACAATCAGTTGCCAAACTGCAGTGGGACCTGCTCCCTGCCTCTGGGGACAATGGACAAGCTCCTGTAGGCAGAGTTTTCACCCTACTGATAATGGTTCCTATGGAGACCCAGAGACCAACCCCTCATTACTGTGTAACCTGTAGTGTAACCCCTTCCTGTGATGTATGTCTCTACCTGTAATGAGTGGGCTGGCATGCCCCCAAAAAGTATATAGACGTGGGTCAGCAATATAGATCTCTGACCTCTTTCTCTGGGCGCTCTCTGGCTCCCCTCTCTTCCCCCTCTCCTCTCCCTTGCTCCCTTGGCCTCTTTCCCTTCCCCCTCTCTCCACGTGGACCACCAAGCTGGCCTGAGGTGAGCAATGCTACCATGTGATGTGTCTGACTGCATTATTGTAATATCTCTCATGCTCTCGATGACTTTAATATATGTATATATGCCTCAAACGTACAATTGTGCTTACTGAACCGGTGGGTAGTAGCAGCGGGTGGGGGCTAGCACCCCAATCCCCCCCATCACAATTTAATACTACAGTCCTGCAACTGCAACGCTTAGACAGAAGCCATGCCCAGCACGTCTCACTACTACGTGAGAATACTAGGAAGTTCAGTTGACATTCCCGAGTGCTGTGTTGGCATTATTAGCAGGCTATGCAAACCCTTGGTGGGCCACAAGCACCTCATTTGCATAGCCCCTCCCCATCATCTGATGGGAGTCGGAGCCTTGCCGGAAAGGCCCTATTAAATAAAGCAGCTCCCTGCACTGCAAGATTATATGAATTTTCTCCACTTTCGCTAGCATGTGTTTCTTGTACTCTACAACACTAGAGGTTGTCATTTAAAGGTCTTGCTAACCGATGCACAACGTCTTTCCTACTTTGTTGCAATGTTGCTGCTGTGTTTCCTCGCTGTCAAACCACCTACCAACTGCCATTTCTTTTTTTTAAGGTTTGAAGAGAGTTTAATGAAGGGGGATACTTCGGAAAACAAATCCAAAGGGCCTTTATCTAGTCTAAAAGGCCCCAACCGTCATTTCTTACTGTGTATTTTGTTATTAATAAACCTCTCTCCAGCAGTAATCCCCACTACTTCCCAATTTTCAAATCTTGGATTGGGATTCAGATAAGAGTTATGAAGCACTGCACTCGGTAAATACTACTGAAAATACCACGGTAAGACTGCCCTAGAGAACTGAAAACCAAATAATGGGTAGCGTGACCAGGCAAGCACAGTAACTGATGATTATGAGGATAAAGGGTCTGAGGACCGGCACCCTGCCATCAAGTCCACTCCAAGGCCTCGTGGCCCCTGCAGGGCAGGGTAGCGCTGCCTCTGAGGGTCTCAGACAAACTCTACAGGAAGAGAAACCCTTGTCTTTCTCCCACGGAGCTGCTGCAGGTTTCCAATTGCTGACTTCTGTTAGCTGCCCAATCTGTAACCATTATACCACCGAGCCACAGTATGGGAATTCCAGAACAGTGAATTGTGCTCATGTGGAGCCTGTACACGGATCAAAAGGCAGTTGTGCAAACAGAACATGGAAATACCGGATGGATTCAAAATAAGGTGTGCACCAGGGTCGTATCATCTCGCCATACTTATTCAACCTGAACGCTGAGAGGCTGGATTATCTGAAGAACAGTGCAGTGTCAGGCTTGGAAGAAGGTTTACCACTGTTCTTGCTGAGAGTGAGGAAGGCTTGAAGCACTTGCTAATGAAGATCAAGATCATAGCCTGTAGTATTAAATTAAAATGGCTATAAAGGGGGTGGGGTTGGCGCCCCACCTGCTGCTAGAACTCACTGGTTCAGTAATACTACTTCTGGGTTCAGTAAGTACAATTGTACGGTTGAGATACATAAGTATTATATTAAAGTCATCAAGAGCATGAGAGATATTACAATAATGCAGTCAGACACATTACATGGTAGCATTGCTCACCTCAGCCCCGCTTGGTGGTCCACGTGGAGAGAGGGGGAAGGGAAGGAGGACAAGGGAACAAGGGAGAGAGGGGTCAGAGAGAGTCAGAGATCAGAGAGGTCAGAGAGAGCTCTATATTGCTGACCCACGCTTATATACCTTTTGGGGGCATGCCAGCCCACTCATTACAGGTAGAGACATACATCACAGGAAAGGGTTACACTATAGGTTACACAGTAATGAGGGGGTGGTCTGTGGGTCTCCATAGGAACCATTATCAGTAGGGTGCAAACCCCTCCGACAGGAGCCTGTCCATTGTCCCCAGAGGCAGGGAGCAGGCCCACCCGTGGTGGGATGAGACAGCAGTCTGGCAACTGATTGCCCTCAGTGGGGGGAATGCCTGCGCATCTGACCTCCCCCCACAGTAGCCTTCAGTATGGATTGCAACTCAATGTTAAGACCAAAATCCTCACAATTAAACCGATAGGTGTGGCAGTTACATAATCTCCTGTCCATTTGAGCGAAGGGGTGGAGTCTAGTCTTCAATCAGGTTGGCTTGGTTTTTTAAATACAGGAATGCAAACAAGAAGTCACGTGTTTTTAAGGCCAGTTAGATGGTTCCACAGTTCCACCACCTTCCCCCACACCCAGCTCAAAACCACTCCACCTGGATCACACTCTGGTTCCTGTCCCCACGGCGTACTTCAGTCACGTCACCGAATGCAGCTCCACCACACGGATGTCCGCGCGTCCCCCCTTCCTGACGGCTCAGTGGGTCACTGGCAAAAGGCCCAATGAGTGCTTTTAAAAGGTTTTCTTCTTTCTTTGAACTCACCCTAAGGACAGTATATTCCTAAGAGCACTTGTCTACAGTCATCCACGGGCCTCAGAGACATGTTGGTCTAAATATGTTTGGTTTGCATGTGGGAATGGGATCCCTGCTCTTCCACTTACCGTCATACCTGGTCACTCCATTTTTACTGAAGGCTCTGCTACCCTAAATCCAGGTCTCCTCAAAGTACATTTTCATAGGTCATTCAGTAACTAGCACCCTAGTTCCTGTTATGATAAACATTACTGGCTTCCTCCCCGGCATCCTTTCTACCTCTGCCCACCTGGATTGCACCTACCCCCACTCACCCCTCATGGCAGGGATGGACCCTAACTGGCCCAAGTGAAATAAAAGCAGAATAACTAATGGCCTATGCCAATTCCAGCTGTTTCCCTGGCCAGATTGATTAGCGCTAGGGCAAGCAGGCATCTGACCCAGACGGCCCAGTCAGAGTGACATACAGGATTGATCCCAATGGTCAAGAGAAGCTAGTGCGCTCTCTCTTGTGTGGGGCTATCAGGATGGTAGAAATCAAGCCAGATCTGACTCCAGGAGAGGTGCCCAGGCAGACGCTAACCCATGGGTGTGTGTGTGTGAGCAGTAAGAGAATGACCTGTGCTATGCAGGACGCTCTAGAGCAAACTGAGCTCAGAAAGTCCATTCAATCTCTGGACTTTAACTACATAAACCAATAACCCCCTTTTATTGTTCAGCCCACTTTCATCAGATTCTTTACACTTGTAACTGAAAGAATTCTAATGGGCATTCTCCACACCAATCCAGCGACCTTCACCTTCACCACCACCCACTCACCGCCGGCCACTGAGTGGGGTCTGAGTCCTCCACGCTGCAGGGCAGAGGAGCTTCTGGGACTGTAAGTCTTGATGGGAGCAGACAGCCGCACCTTTCCCCTACAGAGAGTCCCCTCCCACAGATTAACCCACTGCACCACCCACTTTGCCTCCAGGATTCCTTAGCCTGTCCACGGGCACAGCCACTTAGCCCTGTCCTTCCGTGT